CTCAATCTCTTAGCACAGATCTCTTTGCTCAGCTCAGTCTCTCAGCATGGATCTCTCAACACAGATCTCTTAGCTCAGATCTATTTGCTCAGCTCAGCAGCGCTCTAAGCAGCGCTCACACTCTGCTGACGGTCAGGAAGACCTGTCCTGTATCTCGTCCTGACTCCTCCGCTTGCTCCAGCTAGCCCTGCCTTTAGGCCCTGTTCCGCTCCGTTCCCCTGCCCCGCCTGCCCCTGTCTGTGCCCGTTTCAGAACCTGCGTGTGAGGACGGTGGAGGGCATCGGCCTGGCCCTGTCCTTCGGGAAGATCCCCGGAGCCCTGAGCAGCAAATACATGCTGGTGGATGGGGAGAAGGTGGTGTCGGGATCCTACAGGTGAGAGGCAGCACTCCAGTACCACTAGTGCCTGGGTCGTTGCACCAGCCTTGCTAATTAGCAATTAAATAAACAATAAAGGACTGGTTAGATGGGGGGGGGAAGGCTGGTTTGGAATCGGAAGCAGTCAGAATGCAATGCTGGCGATGTCTGCTTCATCAGACCCTCCCCACAAGCGTCGCGAGGAAGCTTGTCCGATTGAAGCAGAAGTGGGTATTAATGAAATCCCCTCGGGACGCACTGATCTGACTTCTGGTCAGAGGGGCCCGATGAGAGTCGCATCACCACGCATGTCTATGAGAGATCCCCTGAGGACATATCGCAAGGTCTTGTGCCTATGAAGTCAAGCCCCTGCTATTGGTTTCCTTTTCTCAAATGGGACTTGAACATGCAATTCAGTTTATAAAAAAAAAAAAAGGTAAGAGCTGTAGGGGATCCAGGGGGTTGTGCTGATTTCAGTATTAATTTTTTTTTCTTGCCCCACCTGCAGTTTGGCCTGCGAAGCAGCAGCCAGGAGAGCTCATACGCTCATATTCCTCTTTCCATAAATATCATCGTGCGGTTTGGTTTTGAATAACTTTCATGCGAGGTGAATTTTTCGAGGGAGTTGCAAATGAGCTCGCGAAAAGCCGTCTGAGCGGTGCAAGATTTTATCGGCATCTTTGCGAAGCTCGGCAAATTGCTCATCCTGAGCCCTTCTGAGAAATGCTACCACTACCGTGTAATTACAACTGCAGCACCGCGGTTGGCAGTAATTGTAATTATCGAGACAGATTCCCTTCACGTCCAATGGCAGCTACAATTCTGTTGCAGCAATTGCTGCTTCATAGAAGGGTAGCAGTAATATGGGCAGGTGTGCATGTAATTCTAATTCTTTCGACATAACGGTCCTGATGTGCGCTGGACGAGGCCTGTATATTAAATTAAGAGATCGGGGTCCCGCGGGGTCCCGGAGACTCCGTGCTCACCGGGCAGGCGAGGGTGGAGGAGCCCGGCGCCCCGCTGACCGCGGTGCTGTCTTGCAGCTTCACCTGGACCGCGTCCAGGATGGACCGCAACCTGATCACGGTGATGACGGGCCAGGTGGTGGACTTCTTCGACCACGACTTCCGGGAGCTGTACGCCGCCTCGCTGCCCGTGGACCTGTACAAGGAGCTGGGCGTCCCTGCTCCCCCCGAGCCCAGCCCGGCGCCGGTCAAGACGGAGTCCAGGCCGCCGACCGCTCCGGCTACCTCTCGGTTCCAGGCCATGGACATCCACGGCGGCCCTCCCGGCAACATCCGGGCGCCGGCGCACAAGTACCACAATCCCAAGTATTCCCTGGTGGTGGGGAACACCCTGGGCATGTCCACTTCCTGCCAGGAGCTCGCCGGCAACGGGGGGGGCTCCCCGGGGATCATGCGGCGGTTTTTGCAAGGCGAGAAAGCTAGCAGTGAAAGAGCGGACACCGTGTCCCCGCTCCCGGGGCCCGGGGCCCAGGATGCCGAGGGGAAGAGTGGTACCAAAAAGCCCGGCGGGCTGTCCCTGAAGAAGCAGCGCAGCTCTATAAGGTTCTACCTCGGGAGGGGAAAAAGTGGCAAACAGAGCGAGGTCGCGGGGTCCAACGCCACGCCCCCCGGCAACGCCACGCCCCCCGGCAACGCCGGCCCCGCCCCCGCCCTCGGCCGCCACCCCCTGCAGCCCTCGAACTCCAGCCAGGCTCTGGAGGACAGCTTTGAGGTCGTGATTAAGCCCGAGACCCCCCTCCCGACCCCGGACAGGAAGGACAAGAGAGGCTCCAAACACGTCTCGCGGAGCGTGTCTCTGAGAACCGTCAGCAACGCCAACGGAGAAGGTGCGTATGCGCGACAGGGCTTCGCTTGCGGTTTGCGGTCCGCTCTCCCCTTGGTGCGGGTTTTCAGGCTCGTTTTTTTGAAAATCGAGGGTGGAGAACAAAATTTGAATTTCTCTCCCAGGCAGGGAGTGCGAGCAAAAATAGGGTCATCGCAAAATCCTGCTCCTACTACTATCCACTCAGCTGAGTGGCAGTGCTGCTCGGCTCAGCTTCAAGGCTGACGACACCCACTCGAGAACAAAAGTACCAAAACACTAGAGCCCTAGATGAGCTAGCCAGAGACTACAGGCAGCAGAAACAGTCCTGGTCTGTGAACTCCAGCTCTTAATTCTGTCCTTTTGTCACTGTGTTTGCCTCTGTAGGCATACAGGGCTCCAAGGAGGCTGTCGGCCGTTCGAACAAGAAAGAATGCATCCTGTCCTGAGAGAGGGTCATGCAGCAGGGGAAAGGACTGATCCCCCCAAGACCTACCAATGGACACTTCTTCGTGAAGGATTTTACTTCAAGAGGAAAGGAAGTGTTGTACAGGAATCCCCATGGGTCGGGACAAAGTGACTATAAATGAGCTGCTGTCTACATCTGGGTCCCTAAAAATATCGGTGTGGTTTGGAGCTCGTATTCACTCCTCCCGCAATGAGAACTTAGTGCCCTGGAGACTGTATTTGGGTTTTGAGGGTATTCTTTGCCATTTGAGCCCTGTTGTCAGATAGTATCGGAATTGAGTCAGTGCATGAGGTCCTGTTTGCATAAAGCACCTTAGCTCTGAAGTGACTTAAGTGTTAAAGTTCAGAGCATGAAAAGACTCTTGCAGCAGCCTCTATCTCTGTGTGCACACTTAACAAAAAATACATGAACCAGAGGTCATGCCTGCAAGGAGGCCGTTGAGATGCTGGTGTTTCAGTGGTTCTGTGATCTCATTCTGACATCACTAAAAGGAACCCAGGATATCACAGCTGCAGGTTCAGATGAAGGCCTTTTAGGCAACTGGTTGCAAGTTCTTAACGATAGCTGAAGCTGCTGAGCAAGGTCCTCATGGACTACTGCTCTGGTGTTTGTTTTAGAGAAATGCTATGGAACAGTATTCAGAAAGAGTGCTGCACTACAGTTTCTTTCGGAAACGGTGTTTCTGTGGCTTTGCCACATTCAAATTTCCCTTTTAACAAAAAAGGCCAAGCAATGATGACTAATGATCTACTCATGCCATATTTCCTTATGGAAAATATTCAGGGAGATATTGCCGGCCTTGATTTGCTTAAAACCGTCTTTTAACAAAATGATCAAAGCGATGCTCTGCGCTCCCGTTTCCCTTTTCCAGCTTCTGACTCGACGTGAAAGTTGGGGCCCTTGTCCAAGCGCAGTGCTCGCAGATGGACTGATTGCATCGGCTTTAGCTGCCGAAAGAAACCCCAACTTTCACGCCTCCCTGTCGGACATTGTAGGGAACTTCCCTACAGCTGGAGAAGGGGGTGTCCCAAACCTTATTGGGACCGCTCCAAATGCCAAAGGGGAACAATCAGTACAAGGCAGGTCCTCTCGGAGCAGGCTGGTGCTGCTGTGCTTCTGCCCCCTGGGTTACGGGGCTGGTGGACTGAGCCCCAGATGGATGTCGGCTGGCGGAGGAGCCCTCCTGATCTCTGCAGGGGTTCACCCTTGTTGTGCTGGTTTGGCGGCGCACTCGATGACCTGCTGCCCTCTCTCCGCGGTCCTGTGCTGGCGTCTGTCGCGGGCCGCCGCCAATCCTCAGAGGAACTCGGGCGGGGCCGGTCCCGGGGTAGCAGTGCGGAGGGGGGGTTCGGCCTGGTGGATCAGAACCCAGAGTGGCCCGGGCCCTTGAACCAGGCGCCCTGCACGGTGGTGTGCTGGAGCACTCCAGGTGTGATCCCTCCATTTTCCCTCGGCTTGCCCTGTGGAGGGATGGGAGGGGGTGGAGTGTCAAACACAAAGGAGCCTCTTTTCCTTGTGCAGTAGATTCCAGCCCATCTTCCATGATTCCCGGACTCTCCAGGGCCAGCCGAGATGTATGGTTCCACCAGGTTGGCCTGGGTTAGCCTTGATGTCCCTGCCCAGTGGCACACTCCCTGCCCAGTGGCACACTCCAGTAGAGCACCCACAGACGGGTCCCATGTTCTTACCAGGTGGCACAATGACTTGATTCTGCCATTTTCCCCAAATACATTGATCCCTTCTCCCTGCCAGGAAGACGGGGAAGCCTGAATTCCTCCCCTTGAATTGTGATCTCATCGTGCAATATTCTTCTCTGAAATGCATGACGTCGGGTGAGAACTGGGAGTTGTGACCCAAGGGGTTCCACCTGAAGAAGCTCCAAGATGATCTGAAAGGGACCATTGTAAACCCCTCTAATCAGCCGCCATGTGATTGTCAAGATCTTTCTTGCTTCCTCCTGCCTTTGCACTGTAGCCTGACACACACCTGCTGTGAAACTGTGAAAGGAGTGATGGAATTCTGGGTAAAAATGGCCGTCCTTGACATCACCACATTTAAGTGGTGTTGCACTGTCATGTCAGTACTGTCGTGTTGTAGTTCTACAACATGTTTTCCTCTTGGATCTCTGCCTCTGGCCATTTTCAGGTTAGCGGTGTGGGGTCTTGATTGCTGTGTAGCAGTATTTCCCAGCCCAGGTCCTGCAGGAACTCTGTCGGCTGCTTTTCCTTCCCGATCAGCTCTACATCGCCCATGCTAATTAATGGCTTAATTGATTGGCTTGTTAGCTCAGACTTTTAACTTGTTTTTTTTTTTGGCCAGCCCTGAGAATCAAAAAGGATATTAGCACATAAGACGTCACTCAACCTTTCCTCAGCTTGTCCAGCTGAACAATTGATAGGTGATAAACAGACTGTGATGGGAAGGGTGCTGTGTTTGGACACACCCACAGTGGGAGGGACCCTGCTTGCCACACCCATTGTGGGAGGGTCCCTGTATTGGACACGCCCATGAAGAGTTGGTCCCAAATATCTATGCAACATACCAATTAAACTATTTTCAGTATTGATCACAGGTGGAGATTAAAAGCTGTAATATGGAATGATCTTTTACTTAGATGCTCCAAAATGGTCATGCATTTTGAATGTTTTGTAACCAATACTTTAATTTGTGGGGAATGATGCAGGAAAAAAAATAAATATATTTTGGTGCATGTACTGTACGCGCTGGTTTGTACCAAACAATCCAGTGACAGCAGGAGGAATTGTCAGCAGAGAACAAGATGGCTTAAATTCCATGGAGGTGGTGGTGGTCATTGAACGGATTAATTTTTTTCCATGAAAAAGACCAATCTGAGTCAAAAGAGTAGGACGTTGCAAAATGCCTCAGGTTTTTGCGGTGCAGTGGGTGGACGGAGAGGTGTACAGACACGCCTGGGTCATGTTGCTCCAGAGCTCTTCCTGCTGTGGAGGTGAGCTGCCCAGCTCAGGGACGGGACGTGACCCCCTTACCTGGCAGTATCCAACACCTGCAAGAGCTCAGCGACTACAGGCTCTGTAAAGGATTATACAGACTGGGCTGGAGCTGACCGGCTCTATGCTACCTCTTCAGAGAAAGAGAGGGGTAATCTGGGTTTGTCCAGACCCTTCCCAGTACCTGGGCCAGCGTGTGTTTTTCCACACCTTGACATAGCCTTTTTTTCTGAGCTTATAAAAGCACATCTTGTAAGACTGTTAGGTGTGGGACACCTGCATGCTGTCCAGAAGAGGTCAGTCCGATGGCCACAGTCTGAACAGCCTCCTCCCTCTCTCGCTCTCTCTATCTCTTCCTCCTCTCCCTCTGCCCTCGTTCCTTCTCTTCCCTGCCCTCTCCCCCCCCACCTCTCTTTCCAGTTCAGATCACTGTCCTGGCTCGGCTAGCGCCCACCATTTACAAGCTACAACAGGCTCTGGAGAGGCTGGGTCTCCTGTTCCGCAGGCTGGGACAGGAGATCACTGCCTGGGCTGCAGCTCTGCCGCGTTTCCTCCCCCAGTGGGACCGACTGCTGTTCTGATTCTAGTTTTTTATTAATTTGGAGCCGGTCCTGGCGGGCCGTGTGTGTTCCGGCGTGAATTCTAAACAGGTGCAGTCACTTAAGCAGCCTGATTTCTAAATGACACTTCCTGTATATACTGTATATTCTCTTAAGGCGTTTTTCCGGTTGATTGCACAAGATATTTACTATGTTAAACGTAGCTGCCCATAAATCACCTCGGAGACGGTTCAGAAGTATTGCAATTACGCAGCTAATTAAATTGCCAATTACGATCAGCGACGCAGCTGAGAACGTGGGTGGAACAGACGCTACACAGCCCAGGCGCTGCAGGAGCTGGGCGGCGAGGGAGAATCCCCGACTGTCGCAGAGCAGGTTCGGGCTGTGTCTCTGTGCTCCTGCCCGCGGGCTTGGGGGAGGTACCTGCAGCTTCCGCGTGTCGCCGCCGAAACCGCCGAGCGGAAGGAGAGAGGGGGCGCGCGCCCCCGGCCCCCCCAGCGCGCAAACATCCTGCAGCGGGTTCGAAACAAAGAATCGCACGCGTCTCTGGATTTAAGGTACAGAGAGGAATCCGACTCGCACCCTCGACTAACCTCCAGGCAGAAGGCCTGCAAAGACCCCTCCTACCTGATTGCAAATATTTTTTGGGGGGGAGTTCGGGCTTGAAACTAGACAAAAGCCCAGAATTCATTTTGGGCGGCTGTCCTAGAAGACCTGAGAGAATAAGGTGAGGCGATGGCGCCCCCTTGTGGGCAGCGATAACGGCGCGGGTCACAAAAGTCGAAGGGCCGAAATGCGTTGAAAAAACAACGGTTTCCTTTTTCGAAACCTCCGACGATCGGAGTCCAGCAGGTCCCTGGCGGCGGCGGCAGCGGGCGGACAGGAGGGTTAGAAACCGGCTGCCGCCGTGGCGAGGGCCCGGGCTGCCGGGGGGGGGGAGGCGTGTCATCCCCGTGTTGTGAGAAATGTGTCCTCTTGAAGATGTGTGTGTAAACTCTGCTTTTCTCGCTCGAAGCGGGTCGTTAACACCAGCCCGGAGCGCACGTTGCACCGTCAGGCAAATTAATGCAGCGTTTGGAGCTCGAAACGGGGTAAAACAGCGCGTGTGTCATCGGTGGGGGGGGGTGTGTGACCCCGCCTTCTGGTGCACCCCGCCTCCTGGTGCACCCCGCTTCGTGCATGTAAACTGATCGTTTCGGAAACTAGAACTTTTTCAAAAGAAGTTACATGTATGGTGAAACTTGTACCCAGAGGCTATTTTAAAATAGATCACACAGTGGAAAAGAGAACTGGGACTTCTTTTTTTTTTTTTGCAGTGTGACAGGGAGACTGTGCCAAGTTAGGTGGGCGAAGGGGCGCCAGGGAACACATCCTCTAGGGGAGTTGTTGGGGGTGTCAAGCAGAAGTGAGTTGCCTGGCTTTATCAAACAGGAGTGAACATGGTGGGGTGGGTGGGGACCATGCAGACTCCACACAGAAGGTGCCCCCATGAGGCTGGCTGTGGCGCACAGAGAGGTCCACACTGCAGGTGAGCAGGCCCCTGGTGGCTTTGTACTGTACCCCAACCCCCCCCGGCAAACCCGATTCGATTCCCGGATTCTTTGCGGCCTGCAAGAGTGGGGCCGCAGGCCTCTGGGTAAGCACGAAGCCTCTGGCCTGGGGGGGGCGTGTTCTCCTGCCCCTCTCCCTGGGCTCCTCCCTGGGCCCAGGGCGCCTCTCTCCTGACCTGCCCCGCGTGCACTCCTTGCGTGCAGGGAGGGGGAGGAGGGAGACGCCAGGGGGCGAGGGAAGCAGAGGGGGTCTCTGTGGGGGTGGTCCCAGCCTGCAGTCGTGCTTCCTCTGAGTGCTGAACGGAAGGGAAAGCAGAGGGCAGCCTGAGGCCCCTGCCCTCTGCACGAACGTGCCGCTGAGGAACGGGCACTTGGTACCAAGATGCTTACTGCAGTTTTTTTTTTGAAGGCGACGTTGCTCCTGCTTACACTTGACGAAGCTGGAGAACCCTACAGCTAGAGTACACACTCGCCAGGTGTTGGAGACACCGCCCTGTATCTCACAATTTAATACAGCATATCCTAACTGTCCCGGGGAGCAGCAGGGTGGCCCAGTGATCATTGCTGCCTCGCCGCGCTGGTGCTCCAGGCTCAATTCCCAAACCTGGGGGGGGGGGGCTGTCTGTGTGGAGTTTGCATGGTCTTCCCTGCTTTTTTTTTCCCCCCGTGGGTGTTCCCCTTTCCTCCCGCAGTCCAAAGCCCTTCTGGTACTGTGGGTGAACTAGCATTCTGGGAAGACTGGCCCTGGCGCGAGTTGGTGTTTGTGCCCTGCGGCGGACTGCCGTTCCGTCTGGGTTGTATCCTGCCTTGTTCCCGCTGCTTGCTGGGATAGACTCCCGTTTTCCGCCACGACCACCCTGACTCGGCAGAAGCAGATAGAAAATGGATAGAGGGGCGTGCCTGTCTTGAGGGACGTGATCATATCCGCAGTACATCAGAAACCACCAGTAACCAAGGTACCTTTGCACTTTGTTCTTAATGGACTAACCAGGAAAAATGAAAGAATAAATGTCCCGATTAATTTAAGAACTTTCATTCATTTCTTTACTTTCATCCATAGTCATTTTTTCATAAATATGAATGAATAACAACCGCATTACTTCAAAATTCCATTTTTTTGCATGTTTTGCAGCAGAACGATCATGTACAGTGTAATCCACTAGTAAGCTTGGTGTTTCCATCTCTGTTCTATTGCATACATTTGAAAATAAATATAGTGATAAAGATTTTTATGTACAATGGAAATTATTATATCTTTCTGTACTTTAATGCCTATCTACACAGAAAAAAAACAGAGCTTAGAAACTTCTGAAAGTCAGGGCTTCATGGACAAGGGCTTCATCCTGACAGGAAAGAGTTCTGGACAGTATGTCCTGATGCCTGCTTTCTTTTTTTGTAAGAATGTTTTTCAAACATGTCTTCCAGTCGTGTGTGGACTGGCTGTGGACAAGGTCTTTCAGAATTGTCTGGCCAAAATACTCTTTGGTAAAACCTCAACATGATCTCTGGGCTGTAGGGGCTCATCCTGGACTGGGACCCTGGCTGTGATCTCCAGGCTGTAGGGG